CCCAGTCTTTAGCCGGAATTTGGTCAACCTTGCGAAATACTCGTGGCTCTGGCTCGGGATGTTCGTTGGTTCAAGAACATCCTCCTCGATTAACGGTTCGGTTTCTAATATTGTTTCTGGAATTACATCTTCAGCTGGGGCAACGGGTTCCTTGTTAGATGTATTTGATCCCCTTGACTTCCTCCGCTTGTTGGGTGGCGGTTTGATCTCTGGTTCGCCACGGTCGCGTGCCGCTGCTTGAGACCTTGTAACGACGAGGGTTTCTTTGCTGTCTTGAATGCTTCGCTCCGAAATGCATTCCACTGAAATAACTCTTTTCAACTCAGGATCTGATGTTGATGCTAATGCTGCAAGTGCGTCTGCAGTTGTATTCTCTCCCCGAGGTATGCGGATTAGTTCGAATTTCGAGAAATTTTTAGATAAATCCTTCACCACTTCGAGGTACGCTTCCATTCTTGAGTCTTTGGCTTCATAGTCTCCATTAAATTGGTTAACTACCAGTTGCGAATCGCAATAAGCTAATATTTCCTTAGCTCCAACTCCTTGTGCTAATCGAAGTCCGGCAATCAGGGCTTCGTATTCTGCCTCGTTGTTGGAGGCATTGAATAACAACCGGAATGATTGTTCTAGAATTTCTGACGTCGGAGACTCCAACTTGATTCCCACTCCGGATCCTTGTTTTGTTGAAGACCCATCTACGTGTAACTTCCAAGTTTGGTTCTCCGGTTGTCTTATCGTTCCAGGTATTGGTAGTTCGGTCAGGAAATCTGCTAAGACCTGAGCCTTCATACTGATCCGGCTTTTGAACTCTATGTCGTACTCGCTTAATTCCACCGCCCATTTCGCCAATCGTCCGGACTGGCTTGGACTATGAAGTATTGTTCGGAGTGGCTGGTTGGTTAATACCTCAACCGGATGGGATTGAAAGTACGGGCGTAGCTTTCGAGCCGATATCACCACTGCGAGTGCGAGTTTTTCCATCATTGTGTATCTGGTTTCTGGGTCCGTCATTGACTTGCTCACGTAGTGAATTGGTTTCTGCTCCCCACGGTCTTCCCGAACCAAGACTCCACTAACCGCGTGGTTCGAAACCGACACGTATAGATAAAGTTTTTCATCCACCTCCGGCTTGGACAATATAGGCGGAGTGGTTAAGTATGCTTTAAGCTGCCCAAAAGCTTCTTCACACTTCTCGTCCCAAAGGAATCCTTTGTTCCCTTTTAAAATTTGGTAGAAAGGCAACGACTTATCTGTTGACCTCGAGATAAAACGATTCAGAGCCGCAATTCTCCCAGTCAACCGTTGCACTTCTTTGAAGTTTCTTGGAGAGGGCATGTTCAGAAAGGCGTTGATTTGATTTGGATTGGCTTCGATTCCTCTTTCTGTCACGATATAACCAAGAAATTCTCCGGATGGGACTCCAAATGTGCACTTCGCCGGATTCAGTTTCATTTGATATTTATTGAGAATATCAAAACATTCCTCTAAATGCTTAATGTGATCCTCTTTCTTTAACGACTTAACCAACATATCATCTATGTAGACTTCCATTGTGATCCCGAGATGATTATGGAACATCTTGTTAACTAACCGTTGGTAAGTTGCTCCTGCATTTTTCAAACCAAAAGGCATTACCTTGTAACAATAGATACCTCTATCTGTAATGAATGACGTCTTTTCTTGATCTTCGGGGTTCATCATTATTTGATTATTACCCGAGAAGGCATCCATGAATGTTAATAACTCGTTCCCAGCAGTGGACTCTACAAGTCGATCTATATGTGGGAGCGGGAAACTATCTTTGGGACATGCTTTATTTAGGTCTGTGAAATCGATGCAAACCCTATCTTTCCCGTTTTTCTTTTTGACGACGACAGTGTTTGCTATCCATTCTGGGTATTGCACTTCTCTTATGGATCCTATCTTCAAAAGTTTATCTACTTCGTCATTTACTATTTTGGCTCGTTCTACTCCGAGCTTTCTTCTTTTCTGTTTCACCGGCTTGAAGCTCGGATCTACATTTAGCTCATGACAAATTATACTTGGATCTATACCCGGCATGTCTGCTGCTGACCATGCAAACGATGTTTTGTTTCTCTTTAAAAGTTCGATCAAAGCTTCTTTTATTTGGCCAGACAGAGTTGCTCCAATTCAAATTTTCCGGTCCGGCTTGTCTTCTTCCAACACCACTTCGATTACTACATCATCTTTCTTCTGCCCGCTAGGAAATTTTGTTCTTAGTCCCTCTTTTACGGGCTTCGTTAGTTGCTATTGAATCTTCATACGGTGGCTAGCTAGGTAACATGTCCGTGAAGCTTCTTGATCTCCCTGAATTGTTTCCACCCCATTTGATGTTGGAAATTTGATACATTGATGGTATGTAGAAGGGACTGCTTTCATTCGATAAATCCAGGGTGTCCCAAGGATGATATTGTAAGCTGCGGGTTTATCGAAGACAACGAAGTCCACGATCTTCGATACCTTCTTGGCAAGGACCGGTAGCTTGATTGTTCCGAGAGACATGACTGACTCGCTTGTGAACACAACTAATGGAGATGGGGGTCCTACTATATCTCCTCGGCTGATTCCCATTCTTTCTAAAGTACTTAAAAAGATCAAATCGACCGAACTGTCGGTATCTATAAGGATTCTTGATACTTCGAAGTTAGCCACGTCAAGGGTAATGACTAGAGCATCATCATGCGGCCTTTCGAGGTACCGCGTTTCTTCTTCATTAAATGATATTGATGTACCTTGAAAATCGACTTCTTCGCTTAAGTTTGCTTTGAGTAGGATATTTCGTCTATGTTTCTTGATGGAACTTATAGAATCTCCGCAAAACTTGGAACCTCCTAGAATCACATTGATCTTACCCTTCGAACTCCTTGGTTCTTCCTCGTTGGATAATCTTGGTCTTTTGGAATCTTGGTCTTTGGAGTTTTCCTTCGCTTCGTGGTATTCCTTCACAAAATATTTTATATTGAATTTGGAAAGATCTCCACTGGCCCAAAGCTCTGCGAGGTACTTTTTAAGAACGCTGCAATCCTTGGTTAAATGCCCGGTTACTTTATGAATATCGCAATATAGACTTTCATCACGGACCCAAGTGTTTGATCTTCCTTTCCCTTGGAATTGCTTTCCGACGGTACTGTTGAAGGGTTGCGACCCAAATTTCCTTGGTCCTTTGCTTTCCCTAGACTCGAACTTCTTGGTAGGGACGGTGATTGCCGGCTTTTCTTGTTTATTCCTTTTGGCAAAACTTTCTTTTTCGTCCTCTACCTCCATCCAGTTATTTGCGCGGAATAGTGCATCCTGAATTGTGTCTGGTTTATGAAGTATTAAGTCTTCTTTAAACCTTGAATCATGTCGCAATCCTTTTCGTAGGGCAGATAAAGCTGATTGCTGCGAAATTCTTGGGAGCTTTGATAGCACTCCTTTGAATTTGGTGATAAAAACTCGAAGTGACTCATTAGATCCTTGCGATAAGTTCCAAAGATCGGCATCCGAAACGCTTTTATCCATAAGGATGGAGTATTGCTTTAAGAATACGGCTGATAGTTCGTCGAAATTGCTGATCGAACCCGGCTCTAATTGGGTAAACCACATTAGAGCTTGGCCACATAGATTCTCCGAAAAAAGCTTGCAGTAGCCTGCGTCCTCATCAGCTTCATCCAACTCGACTCTTCCAGCAGCGATCAGAAAAGCTGCGAGATAGCTTTTTGGATCCTCCAATCCGCTGTAAGGGTCCAACTTGAGTTTCCGGGAGTCTTTGATCCTCAAACTTGCAATTCGCGAGATGAAAGGTGTTCGCCTAGCCTCTTCAATGACTCGATTGATGTCTGGCTCCGAACTTGTAGCTTGATGAAATTTTGATTTCATTTCTTTTAATTCTTGGCTAACCTTCCTCATGGTCTCAAACTGGTCGAGGTTCTCCTGCCCGTATTGGGCTGCAAGTTGTTCTTCATCTCCGAGCTGTGTCTCTTCTTCCAACGTCTTAGCCACGTTATTAGTAGCACCAGGAGTTGTTTGTCCGCTGGTTTCATTTCGTGCAGCGGAACTTGGCGAGTTGAATATCCCTCTTCGGATTCCCACCGGGTTTCCTGCACTTAGAGAGCGAACACGAGTTTGTATAGTATTGACGTTTTGACTAAGAGATACCTGGGATGTTTGCAACGTATCGACGGCCTTTTCCACATCCGAGAACTTTTGTGATATGTCCGACATGGTTTGCTGCATAGCTTTGAGGGTTTCGGCCAATGATGTCTCAGCGGCGTCTCCTCCGGATATTGTTGCTTATCTCGGAAGTGTGATAAAGAAAAAATCTGACCACTCAAGAACCTAATTCTCCCCACAGACGGCGCCAAAATGTGGATGTTGGATTCACACACTCAAGTATTTTATTAAGTGGGAAAGATTATTCTTGAGAGACAAAAATGAATGTATAAAAACTTGTGAATTGTTACGAAAATTGCTATAATATTTCTCTCTTGAGAGGAAGGGTCCCCTTTACATGGCCATTGGCCTCTATATTTATACATAGAGAAACGACATTAAAATGAGTAATTAAGCACAATTATTCCTTCTTAAATGTGTCCGTTTTGATTCTTTGACTTTAATGCTCAACGTTTGAATTTGAGTTGACTCTGATCTTCGTGGGCCTCGCCTATTCGGCCCAAATATCCTTGAACCATCTTACCCATGCCTTCTTCATCGAACTCATGTCGCAATGTAATCACTTCGGATTCTCGAAGTGGTGACAGCCACTTCGACCGTTCCTTTGACTCCTGGGTCCAATGGACTTCATTCTTTATGGGCCATTATCTTGACTACGTGGCAATCTTTGGTTGGTCTCGTACTTCTGGTGCGGGATCCGACACCAACAACTAGGATTACATATATATTAGATAACTCCTAATATATTTGATATTATCCTCTCTAAACCATAACTCGGTTTAGTTGCTTCCGGTTTAAGTTAACTTCAAGCTTACTCCAACAAGCGGGAGAGAAAGAGGGTCGTGAGAAGAGCAATTCGGCGTCGTTTTGGTTTCCTCCGCCGAAAGAGACCATTTGAGAAGTCTCGTTTCCGGTGAATCCGAAGCCGTCTTCTCCAACGTCTCCGGAGCTAAGGACATCATCAAACAGCATCAGAACATCAGAGAAGCTCGTGAATCCATCTTCTTCTTCCGTTGTGCCTCTCATCGTAGCTAGAGTTCTTGTTTTTTGTTGTTGTTGTTGCTTAAGCTTGTTCGTGGAACTGACAGAAATAGAAAAGAAGTGAAAAGGTTAGAAATCAGAAAAGAATAGCATCAAGAAATGTATTTTAATTTATAGTAAAAAAAAATATACTTTCAATTATAGCAACAATAGTTAACTAAGCAGAGTTTTATTTAGTTATTAGCTATGTGGGTAAATGAGAAATCAGAAAAATGGAACAGACTTGGGTCAAAGGCAACTTGGCCCAAGAAAACTGTTGGTTTTGATTTACTTGTTTAGACCATCTCCAATGTATAGCTCTATATCTTACTCTAACTCTATTTTAGAGGAGGGTTTCTCTCCAATGTATATCTCTATTTTCTACTCTAAAAAGAATATTCTTATAAATATTCTATTCTATTTTATATACTAATACCTTTTAATTAAATAATTTACAATTTGACCCCATATATTATAGATTTGCAAAATTTCCATAAAATATGATATTAGTTAAATTAAACACTAATTATTTATTAAAAAAAAACATTACATCATATAACAATAATAAAACATTACAAATTTTATTTTAAATAACAAGATATTTGAACTATCTTGGCGGATCTACAAACAATTTACCGGACTATTAAATTACTAGTTTTATGTTTTAGTTTTCTTATGTTGTTTATTTTAAATTTAGTACTTGTTTGCTTTTTAAGTTCATAAAACTATGTGTTGTAACTGTTGTTTGTAAAATAATTATATGTATTAAATAAAAAAAGTTTAAATTTGAGGGACTAAAGTATAAATAAAAAAGTTGAACTCAAAAATAGAGTAGAGAATAGAGTTGATCTATATATAGAGTCAATCTGCATAAATCTTTATTTTAGAGTCAATTATAGAGTAGGATTGGAGAAGAATTTTGCATTTTTACTCTAAAATAGAGTAGGGTTAGAGATGCTCTTAGTAACTGCTGCTTTACTTGTTCTCTTTCCGGACAGAAAATGTGTTATTTTTTCCAATGGTTGAAATCACAATAGAAAAGCTCCAAGAACTCACATTTATGTAAAACTCCCAAATTTTAGTTAAAGAAACAACAAATCATTTTGGATAGAAATTTTTTAAAAAAAAAAGTGAAAACTTAACATTCATTTCCACAAAAAAAAAAAGAAGTTTGACATGCGCGAAGAAGAGTGAGCACGTGGATGAGAAACAGCTGCAAGCATTAACATGTAGCAGAAACGAGAAAAACTAGAATGCCCTAATTAATGAGTGTAAATTTTTTTAAAACAAATAGACTATATAAAAGAAAAGGGAAACATAAATAATTTTATCTAAGCAGAAAAATTTGATAGAAAAACTATAGAGAGAAAAGTTTTGTCACTAAAATCAACTTGAACCATCGTAAGCCGTAACTAGAAATAAACCGAACAAATCTCTCCTTTTACTTTAATTAATAATTACAGTATTTACAACATTAATACATATACATATATATATATATATATATATATAATTGCTTAATTATATTTAGAACCAATGGATGCCCTTAAAACCTTCAAAGTTGATAAAATATTATGCCCTTAATTTGTTTTTTAAAAATGGATGCCATATGCCAATGTTTCAAATTCTTGCACTATGGCACGGCTAAATTTAGGAAGGTTGACAGAGTAGAGTAGTTCACAAGTTTAGTTTCATTTCGGACACCTAAACGCTTAGGATACGTATCCTATGCCATATGCCAATGTTTTGAAACATTAAGGTTTGATTTGAAACATTAATGTCCCCACTAATTATTTTTAAGGTATGATTTGAAACATTGGCATATTCAATTCTGTTGTAACGGTATGATTTGAAACATTAGTCGACTGTTAAACTAAGATTTTTTAAGACATTTTTTATTTGTCAGGATTCATTAAGGTTTAAGAGTCGAAGACAATTCGAGTAAAATTGAATAACAAGAATCATTGAATCACACATGCACACTAATGTCCCCACTAATTATTTTTTGCTTTTGGGGAGACAGATAGTATTGAATATTTTGTTGCAATAGTTTTGAATTGACCAAAAGGTTATATATGTTTTAAATACGAATCATAACTTAGCTGTAACCACTATATAATAACAATGGAAACAGTTAACGAGTCTGTTTTGTTTTTATTTCCTTGTTAAAAGAAGGTTTTGTGTGTTTTTGTTCTATGCTCTTTTGACCGTTAGAAGCGAGAACCTCAAAGACATTCACGTGGTGCCTTTAATTTGTTTTAGGTTTAGTTTTATCACACGTTTCAAGCTTTCAAACTATGATTAATTAATTATCATAGTGGCCACTTTTATTTGTTCACCTACGTGTCTTCTCGTTTTATTGTAACCTATATATAGTTTCAACGCTTTACTCCGATTAATTGAATTTTAATATCTGTCAATTGTTCTGATTTGTGCGTATATACATATCAATTATATTAAACACTTAAATAGCGGATATCATAACATTTTATTAATTTAAACACTTATAAATCGTAATGTTGATCTAAACGACCAACGACGACGATCGAGTGAGTCCAATGATTGATACATAAAGTGCATACTGTGAATTATCGTATAGCCTATAGGTTGCTATATCGCTATTGGCTACACATATATACATACGTTCCTTGCTTTATACACTCCAACACCCGCTGTCGGCAGTAGAAAACTGACTTTTGGTCTTCTCAAAGAATGACCGAGGAATGGATCAAAGTAATAGTAATATGATATGCTAATTGAATAGATTATTGCATAACCTGATTGTGTATTAGTTTACTGAGATGGACTGACCGTACTCACTGAAAAATTTGTTTGTCTACGTATCTTTAATGAACGTGAAAGTTTGTTTGAGATTAGAGAAATTTAGAGCACGAGACAGAAAACCCAACAAAGAGAACAATAATGATGGATAGACAGATAGTCTTAGAGTTAGTATTTTGAACCAAAAAAGAAGTCATAGAGTAAGTAGTATAAACAGTGTAAAGTAAAGTCATTGTACCAAATGTTAATAGTTTTAACTTTTCATCTTATAAAAATGGAATGAATTATGTTTAAAGGTTTATACGCCAAATTAATGCTAAACGTCAAATAAAACTAACCAAGAAAACGAAAGTCAAACTGTTTAGCTAAACAAAAGAACTGTACTTGAAAAAAGGCCTTTATAAACTTCCTCCCTCAAATCTACTCTAGGTATAAACTTGTTTATATGATGAATTAGCGCCACTAATCAACTATCCTTTAACCGTCCATTTCAACCAAACCGTCTTGTTTTTACTCTATATCAATATCTACAAGAAATCATAACAATATTCTCACTAGAAAACGATGATTATCAATCGAACCCATTTCTTGAGAATTAACACAATGACTGTTGACAAAAGCAAACATTAAATCAAAGACAATCTAATTGTAATTGTCTACCATCCTAAACGGTGCCACTAGCAATCCCACACTTAACACCAAAAGTCCATTGTCCATTAGTCTCTTTCAAATACGTTTTCCACATCTTTCCCACACACCACTTCTCAGAATTAAATGACGAACACGAACATATTATCTACCCTTTTTTTCTTTTCTTGTATTCTCCATTTGATTCTCTTCACCTAAACTTATCAAAAACATCACAAACTAAAAAAGTTAAGACGATAACGAACTAACGAACCAACGCATTTTGACAATGATGTTCCCACTTCTAAACTTAGCCGCGTTAAATCCATTCATTTTTTGTTTTTTTCCCAAATACTAAAGAGGGCAAAATCGTCATTTACCGATAATCGCTTCTTCACTCACTTGGGTCCTTAAAAAGTATCGTCAAAACTCTCTCTCTTCTGCTCCGCTGCGACTTCCTCTCCTTCCACTTTCTCTCTCACATTCTCCGTCGTCTCTGTTTTCTTTAGGGTTTTTCGAACTTTGTAATTTATTTCGGTTACGAGGAAGAAGAAGACGAAAGGTTTCATTTTTAAGAGTCCTTAATGGAGAAGAAACAAGGGTTTTTCTCATCACTCAGAGACGAAGTCGTAAGAGGCTTATCACCTTCTCGTTCACGACCACGTTCTCGTTCCGCGAGCCCATCTCGTTCAACAAACCCACACATGAAAGCTCTTCTCTGGGGGAGAAAGAAACTAATCGCAAGCTCCGGCTGCAGCGGCGGCGGCGGAGTAAGCGGAGGAGGAGGAGGAGGATTTTACTTGCCGCAACCAGAGCCGTTGATTGGGAGATCCAGTAGTTTAAGACCAGTAATGGAAGGTCCTGATCCAGACAACGGTGAAATTTCTGGAGGGGATTCGAAACGACTCGGGTCGGGTTTAAGTCATTGGGTCAAAGGTCAGTGGTCACGTGCTCCGTCCGTGACTTCAACGCCGGTTTATCGGAGGTCTGATTTGCGGCTTCTTCTCGGCGTTATGGGAGCTCCTCTCGCTCCCATTAACGTCTCTTCCTCCAATCATCTTCTTCATCTCACCATCAGAGACTCTCCCATTGTTAGTCTCACTCTCTCACGTTATATTCCTTGCATAGGGTTTTCAGTATTAAAAACGCAGACTTTATTATAAAAAAATCGTAACTTTTTTATTCCAGATCTCTCTGCTCCACATTTTCGATTCATTTTCTTGTTTACGATTTCTTTTTTGGTTTTTAGTAAAAATACTTGTTTTTGGATTGGTTGGTGGAGTATTGTCATTATCTGGTGTGGGTTTGATTCATATAATACTCAGATTTTGATTTATATTAGTTACTAAAAGAAAAATTCGATTTTTGTTTCTATTATTGTGTAAATTTTGTTTTCTTTGGTGATATGTTGTTGTTTTGCAGGAAACAACATCTGCACAATACATTTTGCAACAGTACACGGCAGCTTGTGGTGGTCACAAGTTACATAACATCATTAAGAACGCTTATGCTATGGGTAAGCTAAAGATGATAACTTCAGAGCTTGAAACTCCCACAGGCACTGTTAGAAACCGAAACTCTGCAAAGTCGGAAACTGGTGGGTTTGTTCTCTGGCAGATGAATCCTGATATGTGGTACGTTGAGCTCTCTGTTGGTGGTAGTAAAGTTCGTGCTGGCTGCAATGGCAAGCTTGTTTGGCGACATACTCCTTGGCTTGGTTCTCACACTGCTAAAGGACCCGTCAGGCCTCTTCGTCGTGCACTTCAGGTTAAACCCCAAACCGTAAAACTAATATGGTTTTGAAGTTAATCCAATGCTGATTCTGTTATGTTGAATGATCAATCAGGGACTTGACCCGAGAACTACTGCCACTATGTTTGCTGAATCGAAATGTGTTGGAGAGAGGAAGGTGAATGGTGAAGATTGTTTCATTCTGAAGCTATGTACTGATCCTGAAACGCTACGGGCGAGGAGTGAAGGACCAGCGGAGATCGTAAGACACATCCTTTTCGGTTACTTCAGCCAAAGAACAGGACTTTTAGCTCAAATTGAGGATTCTCAGTTGACCCGTATCCAATCTAACGATGGTGATGCTGTTTACTGGGAGACCACGATCAATTCGTCTCTAGACGATTACAAACCAGTCGAAGGGATCATGATTGCTCACTCTGGACGCTCTGTTGTTACCCTCTTCAGATTTGGGGAAGTCGCAATGAGCCACACTAGGACAAAGATGGAGGAAAGATGGACCATTGAAGAAGTTGCTTTCGATGTTCCTGGTCTGTCTCTAGATTGCTTTATTCCACCCGCTGATCTTAGGTCTAGTTCGTTAACTGAAGCCTCCGAGTACTCGGGGCAAGAGGAGAAAGGGAAGAGTTCGATCGCATTAGCAGCAACAACAGCTCATAGAGCTAAAGTTGCAGCCTTGGAGAAAGGAAGCTTCGACAATGATCCGGTTTGGCATATCGATGTCTGAGTTTGGTAGGGAAGATGCAATCTGTGCATAGTAATGCTAATAACAAGACTTGAAATCAAACTAACTAACCCTTTTGTTTAGCAGCTCACATATTAGGAGTTTGATTACACGATTGGTTTATTTAAGTTTCGGTTGTCTTATTTTCTTTGTCACCTTCAATATTATTGAGTAAGGTGATGGGATTGATTTGCAGCAAGAGAAGGAGAATTGCTGCTTAAATGTTGAATTTGTTTCTTCTGAAAATTTCAATCTATGAAAAGTTAATGGTTAGTAAGTGAAGTTCTCTATCTTCTTCAACTTTCTTTATTTTCAAACCGAACTGAACCGATCCAAGTAGTTTAAAATTGAATCATATGGATTTAATGTTGTTGAAGACATGAAATTGATGTGATAGAAAAAGAATCTCAGGACATTCTTAATGTATGTATTGTTAATTTTAGTGGTTAGAGAGTGAGGTGTGTTAGGTACTCAATAAAGAAAGTGATTGTTAGGAACAAATAAATGGGATTTTATGAAAGGAATTGAAGATGATGATCATGAATTTATGAAGAAAGGGGTCCATTTTTATATGCTTTTGTAGCAAAAAATAGCTTTTTCAACAACTGTCTCCTCTTTTTTGCATTAACTTTCTTTTAAAGTTCTTTTTTGGGCATAACTTTCTTTTAAAGTTGTTATATATTGATTGCATCTTTTGATACTGGACTTCAATATATGTAACATACATGGATGTATGATAATGACAATCAAAGTTTCTGAAAATGAAAACGTTTAAGTAGTTGAGCTATAACCTCAAAACATAACCAAATTGCCGGATCATGATTTGGGAAAAAAGTCTCTTTGATATAACCAATAAGGCATTAAAAGAGAGATCACAGTGAAGAAAACTCAAAAGATTCACATCATACAATATCAACGCTTGAACTAACTAATGGCACAACAAAAACCGTTACAAACACAAACATGTGACAGTGGAAAAACACTCATGGGCGATAAAACTGGAAGACCGATTTGAGGATGTCTATAGCAGCAAGAAGAAGAGAAGATGTGCGTGGCTATGGCCTATGGTTAGGCAAAGATTATATTTACAAGTTTCTATTCCTTAGATATGGCTCTACGGCAATAAGGACAATCTCCACAAGCTTTAAGCCAAGGGTTTAAGCAAGAAGAATGGAAACTATGGGTACAGGGTAAGGATATAAGCATGTCGCCTTTAGTGAAACTCTCTAAACATATGCTACAATCCCTCATCTCGGTTTTAACCTCGGCTGATCTAAAAGTTTGCCGGTGTAAACAGTTAATAGCATCTTGTGTGAGACCTTGTGGTTTCTTGTTGCATTCATAGGTCACTTGAAGCCCTTCTAGTTGAAAAATTGGATCACCATCTACAGAATGAAATGAAGACTCCCTTTGATCATCTCCCACTGAAACTCTATTGCCTCGACTGAATCAAAAAAACAAAGTTTTAAGTTTTAACTATACTGATTTTAAGCTAAAGCCTTGACCAATTCTAACAAGAATCAAGGGCAAATCAAAACCAGAACCGTGATCAGACAATAAAAGCAATTATCTTTAGAAAAATCTAAAATCACACTAGAGTGGACATCAAGTAAAGCTGTAGAATTTAGGAACAGACCTGTTACTAGACAAAGAAACACCTCTCAATCTTTCGAAAAGTCTTGCTCTTGCAAGCAGCACAGCTCCAGGAAGCCTCTCGGATCCATTTAGGTTAACAAAGCTGCTACTTTGAGTTTCAGTATCAGTACTGTCCGTATTCAAATACTGACCAGTGCCTTGAACATCACGAATAGGTCTACGTTCCTGAATTAACAAATTAGGTGAGATTTTTAATAAATGGATCAGATTCAGACAACTAATGAAATTACTCTTTGGGGGGAGAAAATAACCGGGTGGTGACAGAAGCGTCGGAGACGGGGAGTGGGTCGCCGGAGAGGATCACAGCCGTCGGAGTCATGTCGTTGGTTATGATGATGGGTACCGTGACGGCGATGATGATGGGTACCGTGGTGTCGATAAGAAGAAGTGTTCGATTCTAAATCCGGGTCGGATCGACCCGGACGTGATCTTCGTGTAGAGAAGAGTTCTGATGCGCTCGTCATGCACCGATCAATCACCGAATTCGTTTATATGATCTGAAACAAGTGCAGAGACGGATGAGATAAGGAGGACAGAGAGAGGGGAGAGAGAATAGCGAGGAAAAGTAAAAGCAAACTGCAGTGAAAAGGTGACGTCAGCTCCCACTCGTTGTTGTCGGAGGGAAGACAAAACATCTTCAAAAACGGTGTCGTTGTAATAAAAAACTAAGCCCAATTTAGTCTGGGCCTATCCAAGTGAAGTCCACTAATACATGAGCTTCCTAAGAAACACTAAAATTGAATAAATGGAGCAATTATTGATTAGTTTACTTAACTCAAACATAATCTACTTAACATTTTTGAAGTACAAATTTGCTATTTCCAATCGGGTCGGATTTTTTGTGATTTTGACCCGGAAATCTTCAATCGGATCTTTCCTTATTTTTTGGCAAAATTCAAAAACAAAATTAATTAATAAATTCTAAAAATATATATTTTCTCAACTAATTACTACACCCAAACTCTTTATTTATGGCATATTCTTTCTGATATTTATATATAAGGAAACCAAATATGATGATTTAATGTTAATATAACAAATTTGAGCTAATTTCCTAAAACTTCTCTACCTAATTTAAACAAAAATATATGATTCTCATTTCACTTTTATTTGATTTATATTTATATTATTTTTAATTATTATAAAATATATATAGTTAATAAAATTTTAGATTTTTTTTCTACATATGCTATTTTTCAAAATTTTTAAAACGGACATATATTACTCAATCAATAAAGAAAAAAACATGTGTACAATCTAAAGTACATATTTGCTCTTTTTTTGGGTCAGTTTTGTTTTTTTTTTTTTAATTTTGACTCGGATTTTGACCCTCAATTAAGTCTTTTGGATACAAATAATGAGACTTTCCAAAAAAAATCCTAGCAATTTAAATGATTGATTATATATGTAGTTATTACTAAATATATATCTACTTAACATTTTTGAATTACATTTTTGCTCTCTCATCGGGTCGGATTTTTTTTCTGATTTTGATCCGGAAATCTTCAATCGGATCTTTCCTTAAATTTTGGCAAAATTCAAAAACGAAATTAATTAATAAAATCTAAAATATATATATTTCTCAACTAATTATTATATCTAAACTCTTAATTTATGGTATATTCTTTACGATTTTTATAGATAAGGAAATCAAATATGATGATTTAATGCTAATATAACAAAATTTGAGTGAATTTCCTAAAATCTCTCTAATTAGTTTAAACATAAATATATGATTCTCATTTCACTTTTATTTGATGTTATATTTAAATTATTTTGAATTATTATAATATATACATATAGTAAATTTTAGTTTTTTCTGCATATGTTATAATTCAAATTATTTTTAAACATACATATATTACTCAGTTGATGAAGAAAAAAAAGTATGTGTGCAATCTACTTAACATTTTTGAAGTACAAATTTGCTCTTTCTAATCGGGTTGGATTTTAATTGATTTTGACCCGGAAATCTTTGATTCGGATCCTCCCATATTTGATGTTTTAACCCGAAATCTTTTGAATCGGATCATTCCTAATTTCCTAATATCTATATTAACTCCAAACGATATTTAGCTAACCAAAATCTTGCCTAAATCTAATTCGGTTAGAATATTTAAAGAATCTAAATTTAAATTAAGGAAAACATAGATATCGGAATTAAAAAGCATTGTATATATAGATAGTTTATTTTAAATGGGAAATCTTGATTTCAATATTTATAGTTATTACGAGTTTTAATTAAGGAAATAAATATGTGGTAATTTAATATTTAGCCCATATATAGTTAAATCTTTATAATATCGGAAATATTTTAAACTTTTGTAAAACAAATTATTTTAGTGAAAAATTTCATTTGTTTAATAGGAAAGATTTTATTAACTTCAAATCTTCTCCATATCATGAAAATAATAGTTAACGAAGTTTTATGATTTTATGATCACAACAAAACTAAAGAATATTCTAAAGTTTGTTTAGTTGGAGAAAAGAAACTACCAATTATTTAGGGATTTCGAATATATTCCATTTGCTTGATCTTCAAGATATTTTATGATTACAATATTTTACTTAACCTATTCATTGTACTATATAAATACCTCTTCAATCTTAGTTCCTAAACACTACAAATATGCATTCACTTAACCTACTTGCTTCACGTTCTTAACCTGCGTCTACAAATGTATTGTCGGCTATATTATAGAGCTTACTAAGAAGAAAGTGAACTCATCTACGTCTACAGTTTTGCTTTAATTTTAATTTTTTTCCAGTTTTATATCGTTTATCGGCTTTATGTTTTGTTTTCTCTAACATAAGTTTTATAGTTTTGTTTTATAATTTTGGTGGTGTTTTACTATTTAAAATTTCTGTATGATTAATGAATAAAATATTCATAATCTTTAGGAGGTTCGGAATTTTTTTTTTTTGATGACTCCAGTTCTATATCAGTGTTTTTACTTTGAAGACTATAACTACAAAAATAATAACAAAATGATGTTTAAATTCACAGGACGGGTTCTATGGTGGGACGGATTTGGATCGTTATTAATACGAGACGGTATACTACGGGTAAAATCCTAGAATTAACAATCAAAATACAATTATACAATCTTAAACACTAAACAAAACAAACTATATTACCAAAAAAATACAACTTAAATTTACATTTTTTGTTAAAAAAAATTAACCCGCGGTGTACCGCGGGTCATATCCTAGTAGTCAATGTACTAGTTGCAGTATAATAGTTGGTTCAAGAAAAAATTTCCCTCTTTTAATTCTTTTTCTTATTGCCACTTTGTTAATTAACTCATTTTGTGGTTGTTTAGAGTTAATTTCACCCTTTATTAAAAGACTAATGACTCTGACAGGTATTTAATACCTAATCTAAACTATACTTTCATTTATCCATGACCAACTCTTAAAAGGCCGAAAGGTTATTGATTATTAATATACTTTTGCAATGGATATTAATATTTGGCAATTATAAATAAGGAGATCACAACCGGACTCATCCACTCAATAATAACTAAGTTAGTAAATAGACAAAGAAATCAACATGGCTGATTCGAAGATGAAGCTCCACTGTGGCTGGTTCTTTTTAAATTCGGCAGCTCTCTTTGGTATCAATGAGAAAGGTCTAGACTTTGAGCTGGTATTCGTAGATTGGCTTGCTGGTGAAGCCAAAACCAAAACTTTTCTCTCTACTCTCAACGTATAAACTCTCACACTTACTCTTAACTATTGCATATCTACCAAATTTAACTTCATATGTGGTTGAATGAACTATCATTCTCTTCTTTTTTTTGCAGCCATTTGGTGAAGTCCCGGTTCTTGAAGATGGAGATCTCAAACTTTTCGGTACTAATCTTGTTTCTTTTTCTGGAATTTTATTTTAAGTCTTGGATTTGAATGGTCTAAGAGTTTTTTTTGGAGGTTTTGCAAAATGTTACATAATTATTACCTTTTAATATGTTTCTTTGTTACCATATTAAAAGAAACTCAAAAGAAAACACTCAAATAACGTATGAAACCTATTCTGAAAAAAAAAACCCGATCATTATATGAAAACTATGGCCATGAATGTTTTGGGGTTTTTGAGTGGTTTTTAGATTATTGATTTTGGTTTATAGATTTTAGATTTTGATTTTTGGTTTTTGGATTTTGCAAAAGATAAAAAAAAATAGAAAAAGAAATAAATGGAAAACAAAAAAAAGTTTGAATCCAGGGCAAACATTTTAAAAACTAACAAAAATGGGTTTTTGGGATTTGTGAAAAAAATTGTAAAACTGTCAAAATCTAGATTCCCTATTTTTTAGAAAACCAATTTTCTCATAATCTTGAATGGATGATTTAATGGTTTCTAAAAATCGAAAACCAAAAACCATGCTAAAAACTACTACCCATTCAAGGTCTATATGAAAAGAATAGGTTTTGCGAAATTTAATAGTGTTTTGATTATGCATATAGAATCAAAGGCGATCACGGCATCACGCGATACCTAGCGGAGCAGTACAAAGACATTGGAACAAATCTATTACCAGATGATCCCAAAAAGAGAGCAATCGTGTCCATGTGGATGGAAGTAGATACCAATCAATTTCTTCCTATAGCATCAACACTCATCAAAGAACTCATGATAAAACCATATCAAGGTTTAGCCACCGATGTTGCATCAGTTCAAGAAAACCAAGAGAAGTTATCAGAGATTCTGAACATCTACGAGACTCGTTTAGGCGAGTCTCCTTACTTAGCCGGTGAAAGCTTCACTTTAGCGGATCTTCATCATCTTCCACTGATTGATTACTTGTTGAACACAGAAGAAGAAGAATTGAAAAACTTGATCTATTCACGTCCCAATGTAGCCGCATGGGTCGATAAAATGAAGATGAGACCAGCTTGGCTAAAAACAGTCGTCATGAAAAATCACATCGTTGACTTGATGAAGCAACGGCGTTTGCCTATAAGGTTAGATTCATCGTGTCATGAGTTAACTGTTGTCGCTCAGAAAACGGCGGTGGCAGTTGGGAACAATTAAGTAAGCATGAGTAATATGGGTCAATTACTCTAACTGATTGAAATCATTAGTGTTTTTATGTGTTTATCCAATAATGTCACGTCGTTATGTGTTTGTATTAAAAAAAAAAAAAATGTGATTTAAGGTTTTAATCGTGTATACATTTGGGAAATAAGGTCTTAATCTAATGGATCGGGGAAATCCATCTCAGTTTGGAAGGATCCCTGGATTCCAGCTCAATTCCCGAGACCAACAAAGAGTAATGGTTCACTTGTTGACCCATTGTTAAAAGTTAGCAATCTTATAGATAATCGGTCGAATTTTTGGAATATTGCTCTCTTAGAAGAGATCTTTGATCCAGAAGATATCACCATCATAAGTGCCCTACCTGTGGGTGCACCAACTAAGGAGGATACACTAGGTTGGCATTTTACAAAATCCGGAAAATATACAGTCAAATCGGGATATCATACCGCACGGTTAGGAAATTCGGAGACAAAATTTTCATTGATTGGACCAGACATCAAACCGTTAAAAGCACATTCTTGGCAAGTGCATTGTCCACCTAAGATACGCCATTTCTTATGGCAAATTTTAACGGGTTGTGTACCAGTTACGGAAAATTTGCGGAGAAGGGGAATTGATTGTGATATTGGTTGTGCTAGATGTGGCGAACTAGTGGAAACAATCAATCATACACTCTTTCAGTGCCACCCGGCACGACAGGTTTGGGCACTCTCTCAGATTCCTACAGCCATAGGAATTTTTCCAACGGAGTCTATTTTTGCAAATTTGGACCATTTATTTTGGAGAGTACCTTCGGAATTTGACTCTTCAGCCTTTCCATGGATTATCTGATATATATGGAAAGCAAGGAATGAAAAAATATTTGAAAACATTGATAAAGATCCGTTAGAGGTATTACGGTTAGCGGAAAAAGAAGCACAATTGTGGCAGTCAGCCCAAATTGAGCTTCATCATGAAACTCATGGTACTGCGAAATTGGTTAATCGTTATCGAGTGGGGAATACTTCACTTCACTCGAATTATTCTGGATACCGTTGCTTTGTAGATGGATCGTGGAAAGAAAGTGATAAGTTCTCCGGTACAGGATGGTTCTGTACATCATCAAACGGAGAGCCGCCAACCATGGGAGCTGCAAATCTCCGTCGAAGTTTATCTCCATTACATACCGAGTTCGAGGCCCTTCTCTGGGCGATGAAGTGTATGATTGGTGCAGATAATCAAGAGGTAGAGTTCCTTACAGACTGTTCTGATCTGGTGAAGATGGTGTCTTCTCCAACCGAATGGCCGGCGTTTTCAGTGTACTTGGAGGAATTCCAGAGCGACAAGGAAGAATTCTCATCCTTCTCTTTATCTTTAATTTCTCGCAATGCTAATGTAAAAGCGGATCATCTGGCATGAAAAATTCGTACAGAATCGCTTCATATCACATTTATAAATAACATTCCTCAGAAATGGTTCTTTTGAGCTCTAATTAATTTCGGATGACAAAAAAAAAAAAAATCTGATGCCACGTGTCGATTTACAAGAGGTTAGACTATTGTAAGTTTGTATGTACTCGCACACAGGAGATGATTATATTGAAAAGCCCCAAAACGACCCGTTGAGAGAAAAAAGTGAGAAAGCCATTATATCCCGTCGTAACGGCTACTTCCCGATTTGTATATTTCCCCCAAAACTCAAAGGTCACCAATCAAAATTCTTTCTTCTCCTCTCTCGTCTTCTTCTCCAATCGAATTTTCTCCAAAGATTTTGCTTATCTGAATCTTCGTCGTTAATCCGATACAACAAATTTGAGGATATGATTAAAGCCGCCATGGATCTCGGTTGCTTGGATTTGGGATGTCTTTCTGACAAGAAAAGCGGCGTCGGAGTTTCTGATCATCTTGAATGTTCGTCTTCACCTTCGAAACTCGGGAAGGTAATTTCTCTTTCGATTCCAGATCTAATGGATTTTGTTCTCCCGACTGATGTTTCCAGTGACTTTGGATTGAGTTTCTTCCTGTTTAATAGAAAATTAGGGTTTCGTAATTTTATACCAAGACGTTAGGGTTTTTACACTTGATTGCTCACTTCAAATCTGTGAATTTGCTTAAGATGATTTTTACACTTGATTGCTAAGTTTTAAGACTCTCTAGTTAGGGTGATTCATGTGTTTCTGCTGTTAAGTATCTATTTCCCAGCCAATTAGTTTCTGCTCTTCTTCAATGGCCGTTTCAATTGTCTCTGTGGAACTACAGAATAAATCACCAAGAGAGACATCAGCTCTTAGAAAATCACAATCAAAGAGGTCTTCTCAACGTAAAACCTCATCACCTCTTGGCTGGTTCCCACGAACAAAGGGGGATTCCTACTTGAATAGGAAGATCAAGAAGCTACAGGTGAAGTTTCTTTTTAGTTTCATTGATTGGTAACAACACTGTATCAGTTTGGGAATATTAAAGTTGTTGTTTGGTGTTGTGTAGGAGGTTGGTGGAATGAATCAGACACTTGATGAGACTCTTGGCGACTCGAATCCACACTACTGCAAAATTGTAAGAGAACAAATGGCTGTGAGAGAGGCTGCGGGTAAGGCCATGGAGCTTCGCAAGGCTGCACTGGTTGAAGCATCTTGGTGTAGAATACTTCGTGCTGCTAGGTAATTAAAGGTTTTAGTATCCTGCAAGTTGTTTTTATGGTACCTCTTTATCTTTTTTGACTATAGGAATCTTCCTGTTTATAGGATTCCAAGTTTAGAAGCAGAAAATTTGATGGAGAATGCAGAAAAGGCTGCGGTGGAAGCTTTTGAAGCGGCATCTGCCTTGGGAGTGATAATGCATGATAAACCAAATAGCTCGAGGAAACAATATCGAATCGAAACATCAGGAACACATGGAAGGGGATCTCCTACTCATACCGTTACAGCATCTTTTGAAACTGCTTTTGATGTAGATAAAGAAGTAGCAGCTGCTGTTAAAACTGCATTTGCTAGGCTTGCAAATTGCCCCTCTCTTAGTAAAGCTGAGTTTAAAGACCTTCTGAAGAAAATCAGCCAGAATCCTGATGTGCGTGATAATCATGAGATTACTGAGATGTCTTCAGAATGCGACACAGAGTCCGATTCTGAACTCGGCATTCTCCACAAGGTTGATGAAGAAGTGTCTGAATGTGAGGAGACTTCGTATTTCAAAATGAGACAGCTAAAAGTCAAGAGGCGGCAGTCCTTTGGGAAGTTTAGCAGAGAGAAGCTAGTAGATATGATGCTTGAGAGGCTTCAGGGCTTACAAGAAGATCAACTTTCAAGTCTTGCCTCTGTAGTTGCTACTTGTGGTTTAAATGAGGCCTTGGCTGAAGTTGGTAGTCAGAGGCGGCAGACCACAAACATCGAACCAACTGTTTCAGACCATGGGAGTTCTTCTTCAATGGATACAAGATCAAGAAGAGATTCTAAATTCTGGTCTTTAACGGAAGGAAAAACAACAAGGGATGGAACAGAGACAGAAATTCCGAGTTTGGACAAGTATCTAGTTAAGCACATGACTAAATTAGAAAGAGAAGTACATGAAGCCAAAAGGGCTTCAAAGGAAGTATCTGATAAAAACAAAAAGGTTCCTCAAGGTGTTGCAAGTAATCCTGTTCCGGATTTGGGAAGCATCCTTGTGAAACATTCTTCAAGGCTTGAGAAGGAGATCGAAGAAGCCAAGAAGAATGCAGGAGTGAGTTTTGGAAAGTACCAAAAGACTTCAAGCAGAAACAAAACGCCATTGGATCCTATCCCGGACTTGGAAAGTTTGCTAGTGAAAAAGCATGTTTCTGGATTCGAGAAAGAAGTTCAAGAAACTATAAAGAACTGCGGGAAAATGTATGAAAACGTGAAGAAACCGGGACAAAAAGATAGTTTGTCGGAAATTCCAAGCCTTGATAGCTGTCTGGTAAAACATGTCTCCAAGCTAGAGAAAGAGGTCCAAGAAGCAAAAAAGAGAGGCCAAGAAGATCTTGAAGCAAGTAATTCAAAAACAGTTTCAAGTGTGTTGACAGAAGAATTGGGCAAAGAAAACGTAGACTCGAACAATAATACAGATGCGGGTCAAGAAGAAAGCCTAGACAAGATCTTGGTCAAGCCGGTTCACAGATTAGAAACAGAAAAAATTGCATGGGAAGCAGTTTATGGAAACCGGAGGGCTCAGAAGAGAAAACAAGCAGCAAAAACAGAGTCAGGTTATGAGAGTTTGGACAAAATTCTGGTGAAACATGTTCCCAAGTTGGAGAAGGAGAAGCTCAGATTCAAAGCTGGAGTAGAGGAGACGGAAAACTCAAAGAACAATAATGAAGATAGCTTGAACCAAACACTGGAGAAAAATAACCAGGGACCCGAAAGCATGAAGATGGCAAAACCGAGTTTTACTAGAAAACAATTGAGGGATAGAGAAATACAAGAAACTTGGGGTGGTTTAGGCCTTGGGGAGTCAAAGAACAATAACCAGAAGAGACATGAAAGCAAGAAAACAGAAACTACTGAGCATTTAGGAGGAGAAGAGACAAGACCGGTGCTAACTAGACGACAAGAGAGGGACAAAGAAATGCTAGAAGCTTGGGGCGGTTTAGGACTTGGGGACTCAAGCTTGTATCAAACTGTTAATAAGCATAAAAGGAAACCTGAAAGCGAGAAGATGGAGACAGCAACACCATTGTTAACAAGAAGACAAGCAAGGGATAGAGAAATGCAAGAAGCTTGGGGTGGTTTAGACCTGGGAAACTCGATTCGACCGAGTCTGTCAAAACTAGAAAGAGAAAAGGTTAGGTTCTTTCTGTTTTTTCCATTAACACAAGAATCATTTGAGCTGGTTTTGATAGTTTTGTGTTCTCTCATTTGCAGGCTGCATGGATTAAGGCAGAGAAAGAGGAAACGACTCGAGGAAGCTAGTGTGCAATGGAACGGATCAACGGAACATAGAACATATGTAGTTTTTTTTTTCTTATAATAAATGATGGTAAGGAATATAAGCCTTGCAATTAGATCATAAGGATCTAGCTAGTTTCAAGAAAT